GGGGGGGGAAAACGCCTTCCATGTCCAGGAACAAAACAGTCCGGCTTAGGTAGGGATGGGGCGGCTTCTAAAAAGGCAATTGGGTTGCTTAGAGTGTAAGCTCCTCTGTACAGAAACTGAGACCGGCTCAGTGTTCTCTGTACAGCGCTGCGGTATATGTCAGAGCTATATATACATGTACAATAATAGTGTGTGAGTGTGGGGGACATTAGAGTGCAAGCTCCTCTGTACAGAGACTGATGTGACTGTGGGGGGAGGGGACATTAGAGTGTAAGCTCCTCTGTACAGAGACTGATGTGACTGGCTCAGTGTTCTCTGTACAGCACTGTGGTATATGTCAGAGCTATATACATGTATAATAATAATAATAGAAGTATGACTTTGGGTTTGTCTTGTATTGGATCGTCTTCTCTGGAGAGATATCCGCTCACTTCCTGTAGTGTCTCGGGGACAGGAAGTGATGGGAAATCTCCCCCCGGTGTGACACAGACAGCTAACAAAGAAAAACTTCCAGAATCATCTAAAAGTATTAAAAAAAACTTAAACTAGAAAAGGGTTTTTATTTTCGATATACTGTAACAACGTTCTGCTGTGTTGTGCGTGGAAATGATAACGAGTGTTTTGGATGAAAATATTTCCCTCCAGTTACACAAATCTGTCAACAATTACCGAATATATTTGTATTTTGAGGACTTAGGAGCCAAAAAAAGAAGACAAAAGCAGTTAAATTATGATGAGCGGGGCCCCGGCGGTAACATTGTGTGCGCTTTGATCAGCGGCCTACATGTGCAGCCTCATTATTGTCACGATGGAGACTACCAACCTCTGAAGCTGGAAGTATTTTGTATTCCCGACCTGGGATCGGGGGAGGGGGCGGGTACAGCTGGCTCTGCGCAGCTGGGCGGATCCCGACGTCCATGTCGCTCCGCTCCGGCGTCTCAGTATACCGCGAGCTGTAGGTCCCTATATACTGAGCTTAGGGTAACGGGAGGACGCTAGTTTGTGTCCTCCCGTTACCCTAAGGAGAACTTTGGGG